AGGGCCCAGACACTGGCTCCGGCTCCCAGCTGGACTCATTCCCCTCCCCTGGAACGATTGAGGATGGGAGTGTGGTGTGGGTGGGGACTTTGGTTCGGCTAAGTCTTCTCTCCTGCACAGGGCTGGGCACAAGCTCCCTGGCCCTAGGTATAGTTGTCATAGAGCCTCAAGGGAAATGCGACCAGGTTTGGGCCTGGGCAGGGTCAGGCCCAAACATGGTCGGTCAGCAGGGTCAGCAGGGCCCTCCCTGTGGCCCGGCAGCCTCCCCACTTCTCCCCCCGCCGGCCCCTCTGCCAGGCCCCAGGCCTAATCCAGCTTAACGAGCGTGGCACAGCCCAGCTCAGCATTCCAGGGCGGCGGGGCCAGGCCGGGCACCTGCCTCTCTCCACAGCACGGCCGGGATGGGGCCTGGAGAAGGCCAGTGGTGGCAGAGGAGACCCTGGGAGTTGGGCGTGGACACCAGGTGGGTGTATCAGGGGTGTAGGGGGTGGCCAGGCAGCTCGTCTACTGCAGGTGACCCCCAACCGTGGCTGTGGCAAAGGCCCTGGGTCCAACCACATGAGCCCCTCGATATTAGGGTGCAGCGGCCTCCACCTGCTCCCCGCTTTATGTAACTGTGACACTATGCAATCTGCATGTGCCCAACCTAGTCACCTGTGACCCGAATGAGGCTTAGCTGTCCCAGGGGATTTGCCTTCCTGTCTCGCTGCTGCACTGTGCCGGGCAGCCCTATGGTGGCTGTGAGGTATTTGGAGGTCACACCTGGCCATGTCATCGGCCAGCAGCTGGATCCTGTGGACTCTGCTGGGGTCAAGGGTGCCAGGCGGAGCCCCTTCCCCCTGAGGCGACGGCCAGCACTGCTGCTTAGACAGGGTTATTCCCAGGTCTCCTTGTTACCATCCCCTGGGGACCCAGCTCCACACCAGCAAGGCCACGGGATCCCACGACGTGTCTGCCCTTGCTCCCAGACAGCAATACAGATTTAGCTGTGACCACGCTTGTCCCGTGCCCTGGGAGACTTGCAGGCACAGGGACTCGGACCCTGCCCCTACGCGCGCCTCCCTGTGGCCTTGGGCAAGTCCCTTGGCCTCTCTGAGCCACCTCCTCAGTCATGCTTACTCCAGAAAAGGCACTCCGGTGCCTGTGGGAATGCCCCAGACAGCCCGGGCGTGTGGCGTGACGGGCAGCTTCAGAATAAGCAGGTTCGTTTGGGGTTGAGCCAGGGAAGGGCAGGAAGACACAATACCTGGTGGGCCACACACGAGGGCTTGGGCAGGAGGTGACCCAGGGAGGCTGAAGAGGGCCGGGAGCTGGCCCAGCTGAAGCTGTCAGCTGCCTGGGCCTGCGGTAAACAGCCGGCACTCCACCGTCCCTTGGCGGAGAAAATGGTCATTTCTAAAGTATCTAGAGCCCATGGAGAGCGAGGATAGGAGGTAGGGATCCTGATTCATCCACACTCCGTGTTCATCTTTCCCTCTTCCCTTTTGCTGCTGGGAAGGCCAGCCGTCCTCAGATGTGAGCGTGTGGGAACTGTTGCCAGCTCTTCCATGAGTCTTGTGTTAAATGAGACGAGGCATATAAAAGCAAAGCGCCTGTACATTAAACCTCACTGACATCTCAGAGGGCAGGCGGGAAGTGAAGGAGCAGTTGCCATGGCGCAGGGAAGGGGCGGTGGGGGGCAGGGCCCATGGACTAGTAGAACCCAGAAAACTATGACACACCTGTTATTTCTTGCCATGCACGGCACAGCCCTGCCCTTTGCACCTTCACTCCAAGGTGGACAAATGAAGGGACCACGCCTTGTGTGGAGGTGGCCTGGTTGTATGGAAGGAACATAGCCCTGGGGCCAGACAGACCCAGGATCCCATCACAGTCACACCCTTGTTGACCTGGGCAGCCCCTTCTCCCTTGCTCTGAGTCTTAGGAGGTTGCAGGGGGAGCAGGGGGAACTGGCAAGGGACTTCCCTGAAGTGTGGCCCGGGGAGACGAGAGCATTCTCCTCCACTGACACAAGCTGTCTTCCTCACCCGCACCCTGTACCTGCCATGAGGCCAGCTCGGCAGGGCCTAGCCACCTGCCTAGCACAGCTGACCTGTGCCAGCAGCAGCAGCACAGTAAACAGGTAGCAGGAATCAAGACTAACTTAGCAGTGGGGTCAAGCTTAGGGCCATGGCAAGCAAAGGTGACATGGGGACATAGGTCTCATGGGCACAGCAGGCAGGGGGCAGGCGGTGGAGCCAGCTCTGGGTTGAGGACCTGGGTTCCAGATCTGGCTCTGCCGCCTCCTTGCTGGATGCCATCGGAACCTCAGTTCACTGTCTTGGAATGCAGTGAAGGTCTCTGTCCACCCATTTCATGGGGCTCCTGTAGGATCTGGAATGCTTCCGAAGCACTCAGAGGGGTACTCTGCCCCCTCCACCTGCCACCACCCCTTATACCCACTGGCGTAGAACTGGCAAAGAGATGCCTTATGGTCTGGCTACTGGGATATGGGGTGTCACTATGTCTGTTGTCACAGTCCCCACCCTGAGGTGTGCAGCAGTGAAGGAGGGATGGGGCTACAGGGGAGGTAGGGAGGCCACTGTAGGACCCAGGGCAGTGAAGGCCTTGGCTCCAGGACACCAGCCTGGGAGTGGTAGAGTTGGGCCCAGAGCTAGGGCCCTCCCAGGCCCACTAAATTGCACGGTGGCCAGTGACTACAGCTCCACACCCAAGGGGGAGCCTTATAGACTCATAATTTGCAAACTCAAAATAGCCCCAGATCTTTAACCAGCATGGACATAGCCTCTCCCACCTTGGGGGCCCTGTTAAGTGCGTAAGATAGGTGATTTCTTTCCTTCCCTGAGACGGGCTCTCCTTCCTGCCCCAACCTATGCCAGGACACCTGTCAGTGTAAATCCTTGCTTAGGTGTGGCCAGGCAGAGACCTGGACCCAGACCTTTCCAGGGAGCATGGGGAGGACCTTGAACCTGAGGTTGGAGTGAGTGTGTGCCTCCTTGGAGCCTGCTGCCTTTGAGGGGGAGCTGCCAGGAACTGAGCCTCAGTTTCTCCATCTGTCACATAGGGATGATCTCACTTGTCCTACCCTGAGGATTTTGCTGGGTGAGCTGAGACGGGGAAGTTTGTGAGTGCAGGGTCAGGCATTACTGTCTGTATCATAGTGAGGACACGGGCTCAGGGGACCGGGTGGCCTGTGCCAGAACCCAGGCTTTCTGACTCGTGGTGTGCCTTTTTCCACTACACTTTGCTGGTTTCTTTGGGCAGGTCATGTTGCATTTGCAAGCTACATTTCCACATTGTCAGAATGAGAAGGGACACCCATGCCCTGCCCACCCTGCAAGAGTGCTGGGTGAGGGGCAGTCAGTGGAGAGAAGGTGCCCAGAGAAGGGCTTGTTAGAGGAATGATGTCCCTGGGCCAGCTGAGCAGCCAGAACTCTGGAGTCCCAGGCTGGGGTCCATTCCCTCCAGACAGACCAGCTATGGGGGCCCAGGCTCTCCCTGTTTGGTGAGCCAGCTGAGCCCGGGCAGGGCGCCCTGCTGCAGAGGGAGGGGAGAGGCTGCCCGCCCCTGGAGGGGCTGGTCCTCAGGAGGCCCAGGACACACCCCCTTGGCTCATTCCCACTGCCATCAGCCCCAGCTCCCTGGCAGGCGCCACCCAGCCAGCAGATATTGTGAAGCATTTGCTGACTTTTGGGGATTCCACGGGAAGCAGGTTATGGTGGAGAGAAACAGGCACAATCGCTGGAGAAACTAACCAAGCTGGCAGGTGACTGGGTGGGCCCGACTGGGGCGGGACCAGGTGGTTTTCTGGGGACATGGCAGAAGAGGTCTGAGGGGCACTGGAAGCTGCTGGTGGTGGAAGGCCTGAGTGCCAGGAGCCAGGTGCAGATGTGGGTGGTAGCCCCCAAGGCTGTCTGTGCAGTGCACCCTGGCCCAGTACTCTGCATCACCTCCCCACTTCCTCCCAACAGCCCTTAGAGACAGTGCTGCCTTATCCCCGGGTCTCAGAGGAGGCCTGTGGGCCTCCCTCCCTGCAGGCTGGCTTGTCTCTGACGCTCTGAGTCAGACAGCGTGCGATGTGTGTGGAGCCCAGTGGGCACTCCGGGGTGGCTGGTCCAATAAGGGGTGGGGAGGAGTACGGGGGAGCTGCAGCCAGACCACCGATGCAGGCGTGGGCCAAGGAAACGGGTCCCCTCCTACTGGGTTAAAGCAGTTGTCCAGAAAGAGCAAATCCAGAGGTCCCCACGTTGGCCTCACTGCCTTCCAGGGACAGCTGAGGCTGGGGCCTTCCTCTCTACTGTAATGACAAAGTGACTGACCCCTGCTTTATAAGAATGTGATGGAACCACCAATGCACCTGGAAAGCTAAAAAGAATGTGGCTGTCATACTATGCCACAAGCTTAAAGGGGGAAACTTAAAAGCAGAGTTGTATGATACAGACTCAGACTGTGACGTAACTTGGTGGAAAGTTCCAGTCCCAGTTCTGCCAGATAAGACCTGTTGCCTCTGAGCTGGGTAGTACAGCAGAGTGTGGCTTTCATTCCTTCTGTGCCAAAGCCAGGGACTGGACTGAGCTGCCAGGGCTGTCTTGGGTTCCAGTGTAGTCAGGGATCAGTGACATACTAGAGGCCCAGCATGCAGTGAGGACGTGGCAGCAGAAAGCTCAGGCCTCACCATGATGAGCAAAAGACTCAGCATCCTCCAGCTCCAGGGGGCTGTACTGGGAGGCAGCGTTCAGACCAGTGATGCCCGGAGCGGTGCTCTCCCAACAGCATCCTGTGGGAAGCTGACCAGCGCGGGTGCCAGGGTTCACGTCCCCACAGAGGCCAAAGGGGCAGCAAACCTGTTTCTGAGCACCTGGCAGAGGGAAGGAGGCTAGACAGCACTCCCAGGGCCTTCTTCCCTGTCCCTGCAGCTGGGCAGGTAAGGGTGTGGCAGGTAGGAGCAGACAAGCCCCCTCTGGAGGCCTGGGGCTCACACTGCCACTCCCCCGCCACAGGCCTGCAGGGACTTCCTGGAACTAGCAGAGACACACAGCCGGAAATGGCAGCGGGCGCTGCAGTATGAGCAGGAGCAGCGCGCCCACCTGGAGGAAACCATCGAACAGTTAGCCAAGCAGCACAACAGCCTCGAGCGGGCCTTCCGCAGCGCCCCCGGCCGGTCCAACAACCCCACCAAGAGCTGCAGTGAGGGTGAGTGGGGCTGGCCGGCTGGGTTGGGTCCATTGCTCAACCTTCAGCTTCTCTCTCTGCCACTGGCTGCACTTACACAATTTCTGCCATGCCCCCACACACACCCCTTAGTGTGTCCACATGTGCGCTCGTCCTGGCCGGCTGTGGCCTGCCTCCCAGCTGGCTTCATACGTTCCTGCCCATCACTGACTGGCAACAGTATCCCTGTACTAGGTTCAGAGTCTCAAAAGAAATGTGAAATGAGCCCCACTATCCGCTTTGTGGCAGGGATGCCTGGTGGCTGCCCACGTGACCTTGGGCAGGGCGTCCATCAGAAAGGGAAGCTGGGCCACAGACTGACCCATGTGTTGAGAGTTGGGGGAGGCTTCCAGAAGGAGCCTTGAGCAATGACTACATTGAAAGGAAAGCGTCTCATCCCAGGAAAAGGAGCAAGGCAGCCGCAGTGCAGGCGGGAGGGGAGTGGGCGGCCGGGGTAGGGCGGGGCAGACAGGGGGATGCCCTTCGCTCTGGACTTCCTCAGGCAGGCAGGGTGGGCCTTTTTTCAAGTTGAGAACTAAAGCAGCGGCTCCGTGTGTTTCTAGGAAGCCTCTCGACTCACAAAGGAGAGGACAGTGAGGAAGATGAAGATACCGAGTACTTTGATGCCATGGAAGACGCCACATCCTTCATCACCGTGATCACCGAGGCCAAGGAAGACAGGTGTGGCTCTTGCCTAGCAGGAACGGCCGTGGCCTGGGAGGACCCTCCCACGGGGGCAGCCTTTCCCACCTTGTTCTTAGGTTCCATCTGCCCTTCTTTTTCACCAGCTCTGTACACTTGGGGGGGGGTTCCTTTTTTAAATCTTGCTCCAGATAGGATTTTTGTTTAGATTCTTTCCTTCCTCAAATCAAAAAGATTTGAGGTGCCTACATAAAGTTTATATGAGAATTTTAATTTAAAATGGAGATGGAGATGGAGAACAGGGCATTGGCTGGATCCAGTTCCAGTGTGGAGGTAGGGTAGAGGCTGGGTCCCACGGCTGGGGTCCGAAGACCCTGGCTCACTGATTCAGAGCTGCATGGGCTCCCAATGGCTCCCTCCACCGTGTCAGGAGGACAGATGAGAGATGCAGGAAGTTTCTCATCTTCTATTTCCAAGCCTTTGTTTCATTTTTCATAAAAGTCTACTCTTTCAGGATGTTTCTAAATACGGTCACTTTTCATTTAACAACGGGGATATGTTCTGAGAAACGTGTCATTAGGCGATTTCATTGTCTTGTGGGAACATCCCAGAGTGTACTTCCACAGACCTAGCCGGGACGCCTTCTACACGCTAGGCCAGATGATAGAGCCCGCGGCCCCTGGGCTCCAAACCTGTGCAGCATGTGACTGTGCTGAACACTGCCGACAACTGTAACACAGTGGCAAATATTTATCTATCGAAACATAGAAAAGGTACGGTAAAAATACAGTATGATAATCTTAAGGGACCACCATCATATATGCCATCCATCGTTGACCAAAATGTCACTCTGTAGTGTGTGACCCATGCAACACGGTTGTGACCGGGACATTTACCAGCAATGAAAACAACAACGTCGGGATACAGAGCAGACGCCCGTGCGCGTGGCCATGCCTGTGCACCGCGTGTGCAGGGAGAGCATGAGATAGGCAAGCAGGCTGGGCACAACGGGCCACTCCTTCCTCACCTGGTGCTTGTCCTCCGTGGACCCACATGCTCTATCACCTCCCTGTCCCAGAACCTTCCAGGGAAAGGGCTGTTTGACTCCCTACTACCCTTCAGGGAGTTTCCAGTCCCACCAGCAGCTCACAGTCATTTTCTATTTCCCAGGAACATTTTAAAATTGCTTACACTGTTCTCAAAGTTAGCATGGCTTTTGGCTGCTCTGAACTAACTTCCTCCGCATCACCAGCTGCAGCCAGGAAGGTGCTGCTTGGGCTGCCTCGGCCCTGCCCACCCCTCACAAGCCAGGAGCCCCCAGGGCTCGGTTCCTGTAAGGACCCGGTGATTCCTTCCCATGTTCTGAGGTGCTGACTGCTGAGTGCCTGTTACTGCCCAGTGGGCCTGGGTCACCCCTCCATGGGACTCCCACAGAGCCTTGGCCCCTCAAGAACAGCGCCCCCTGCTGCCACAGCCGACCATCTCCGGCTCAAGTATCCATGGGCACGGGGTTGGGAGGGGGGCGTCAGACGCCCTTCCTGCTCTCCAGGAGCCCCAGTGTGGGAGTCAGACAAGCAGAGAATGAGGGCACATGGGTCTGCGACAAAAAGGGGTTGATGGGCCTCTACGAGGCTGTCCCAGAGGTGGTGCCCAACCCAGCTTCATCTTGGGCCTGGGTCAGCCAGCCCAGGACAGGAAGAGTGCAGGGACCCCAAACAAGGGCTTCGCTGAGCAGCTGCTGCCAGGGGCGTCAGCGGGTGAGGACCCCTCCAAATTGCTGACCCGAGCTCCTCAGCCCCCACCTTGAGTGTCCTGAATTGTAGATTCCTCCATTAGAAGTAGCCTTGGGCAGGTGCCCTCAGCCCTCACTGAGGCATCTGCATAGGAGGTGGGGCCAGGTCCCGAAGCCTTGCGATTTGTCACTAACTTGCTTCCCCCTTTTTGTTTTCTGAAGAAAAGCCGAAGGTGGAACTGGGGCAGGCTCAGTGGACTGGACCTCATCAGACAACGCAAGTGAGGTGGGTGTACCCTAAAAGCTAAGAGGCAGCTCTGGCCTGGGGCCAAGCTCCAGGTGGCTGAGAGGGACAGGCTAGCACCAAGAGCTGGAGGCCACCAGTCAGGCCCAGCGCTCTGGCTGCCTTCAGGTCCCTGATATGCCTCCAATTCAGTAGTCCAGGCAGAGCCACCTGCCCTCCTGGCAGCAGCGTGCTGGAGGCCAGCCTGGCGCTAGTCCTCAGAGGGTCAGAGGGCAGGGCAGGGATCTAGAGGCTGAGGGGGAGCTCTGGCCTAGGCTGACAGGCATGCCCTACTTCTCTGGCAGGAGGTGCTTAATGCTGCCTCACTTGTGCCCAAGGATTCATCCAAGGTCAAGAGAAGAGTCAGCATCCCCAACAAGCCCAACTACAGCCTTAACCTCTGGAGCATCATGAAGAACTGCATCGGCCGGGAGCTCTCCAGGATCCCCATGCCGGTAGGCGGCTCAGGGTGGGGCAGCCTTGGTGGGTCCTCTGGGGCTGTTTTCCTGTACATGGACGAGAATCAATGGCCTGTGTGAAGTACATGCAGCCCCAGGGTGTCATTTTCTGAATGGCACATGAGGAGCACGTAACTAATTATCTAATTGTCAGTGTTGCCCAGTCCCTCAGAGAGCAGGGTCTCCAGGCTGTGAGGGCAGGGGCTCGATCAGAGACGTGGGGAACAAGGAGCCCCGCCGCCCCAAGTCTGTATATGGGGAGTGGCGGGATTGGGCTGTTGTGAGGAGGTGACAGATGCTCCATGCTGGGAGGCATCACTGGTACCTTCTCCAGGAAGCAGAGGCTCAGTGGGGTCAGGCAGGCCAAGGCAGAGCTGGGACCCTTGTGCCACCACAAGCTGTGGTGGCATCTCCACTGAGGAAGGGTTCAGGGGCTCTAGGTCAAATGGTTTCACTGTGTGACTCAGATAAGTTCCTTCACATCTCTGGCCTGTGTCCACATGCGCACTGGGGAGGAGATGACACAGCAAAGATTCTCAGCCAACGGCATCATGGGGAACATGAACCTGCCCTGCCCGAGACCGAGACGGGCACCCTGAGAGGCTCACCCGTCCTCTGTTGGCCCCTCCACGGAGAGCCTGCGTCGCAGCTGAAACTGTGAGGAAGACACGCTTCCTCCACTCATAGATTCGTTTGACCATTCACTTATATGTTCTCTGATTCCTGTGATTCGGCATTGATGAGACAGCTGTGGACAAGTCAGAAACTCTGGCCTTTGTGGGGTGTCCCTCTTTCAGGGCAAAGTGACAGTGAACATACAAGTGTATACGAGGCAACATGCCAGAAGGTGAGGAAGGCTGATGAGGAAACTGAGGCAGGAGGGGCCAGGGAGGTAACAGGGTGAGGGGCTGCAGTGTTGGTCAGGGTTGTCCAAGGAACCTCACTGTGAAGATGTTGTCTGAGCAGGGATGGCCCTGAACATCCGAGGAAATCCAGGACCTGGTGCCCAGACTGACCATCCCCACCCCCACAGGTGAACTTCAATGAGCCCCTGTCCATGCTCCAGCGGCTGACCGAGGACCTGGAGTACCACCAACTGCTGGATAAGGCGGCGCACTGCACCAGCTCCGTGGAGCAGATGTGCCTGGTGGCCGCCTTCTCCGTGTCCTCCTACTCCACCACCGTGCACCGCATCGCCAAGCCCTTCAACCCCATGCTGGGGGAGACCTTCGAGCTGGACCGCCTTGATGACATGGGCCTGCGTTCCCTCTGTGAGCAGGTGAGTGGCCAGCCTGGTACTTGGCAGTGCCCGCTCACATCTGGCCAAGATGCTCCTGCCAAGCCCAGGGTCAGAGCAAGACAGATGGGAATGTGGCCTCTGACCCCGACCGCCCATGGCCAAGGGGCCATCACGCTGAGTTCCAGCGGGGCCTCTCATGGTAGGGACATGAGAGGAGAGCCTGGTGAGGACAGGCTCAGGTCTGGCGTGTGGGAAAGGGGAGGACACAGCTCCTGGCCAGGGGCCATGGAGCAGAGGTGGAGGGACATTTGCAGGCCCTGCTGGGGAGTTGGGCAGATTGGAGTGTGGGGTCACCACTGAGCTGGAGGGCGGCATGCAGGAGGAGCCGTGCGCGTTGGGATGGACTCTGTCCCTGCCAGTAGCAGCCTCTGTCTCCCCCACCCCTTCGCCATCCCTTCCCCAAGGAGATAGGCCAAGACCCAGGCCGGGCAGGCCAGAAGCCTCAGCCCATTGTTGGAAAAGAGGCGAATCTGTTGGTGCCAGTATGGGTGTGGCTCAGGGGATGAGCACAGGAGGCCAACTGGTCACAGAGCCGTGCCGGCTAAAGGATCTGGCTGCAGTGACCCACGCGGGGGGGTGCAGGGGGGGCAGCCAGACCTGAGGATGGGGGAGGCCAGAGCCCACAGATTTTCTGACACTTCAGGTGGCCAACACGGGGGGCAGCCAGGGTGACCCCCAGAGTCCTTGGCTTGAACCACGAAGGAAATACCTGTCTCCATTCAGCACATGTTAAGTGCCCTCCATGTGACACGTGCTGTTGAGGCACTGAGGGTGCAGCCGGGAAGTGAACAGATGTGGCTCCTGTTTTCATGGGCCTGGGGGGGTGGCACGCACCCTGGATGCTTCTGGCTATTTTAGAAAAGGGGTGGTGAGGGAGCAGTTTTGCTGACGCAGAGAGAGTGGGGAGGAAAGGAGATGCGGGTGGAGCGGAAACAGCAGAGGCTCTGACTTCGCTCTGCGTGGGAGGCCTGGCCCTGACCTGGGTGCGGATCCCTCTGGTGCGGTGTGGGGGTGGGCATGGTGGAAGGGGCGGATGCTGGATGTGCTTTGGAGGGACTGCAGACAGCCTTTGCTCAGGATTAGAAGAAGGGCATGAAAAAGAGCGCCAGGGAAACTCCAGAGCAATCGGAGGAGGTTGGGCCTGAAGAGAAAGCATGGAGGAGGCAGAGCTCCACGGCCAGCCTGTGTGGTCACATCCCTGCATTTGATTGCCCATAGGGGGTGGCCCTAGGGGACTTGTGGAGGCAACAGCTGGGCTCAGGGACAGCTCACCTGTCACCTGGTAGGGTTGGCAGTCTGAGCTTGCACTTCTGAGGCACAAGAATAGAGTGTGGGTGCCTCTTAGACAGGGGACTATATAAGGTGTGATGGGGGCAACAGGAGGCCAGGGCGGGGCTGGTACCCTAGGGGGAGTAAGTAGGCTGGGGAAAGGGGTGCCTGGGGCCCTGCGGCCACAGAGTCGTGAGATGAGGAAGAACAGACAGTGGAGACTGGGTGCTGCCAGGAAGGCAGGAGAGCACTGGAAGGGGGGTGTCCTTTCCATGGCCACAGTGCTGCGTGTACTGGGGATGGGGCAGGCTGCCCCTCCCTGGCTGGGGAAGTGGTGTCTGGGCCTGTGTCCATCAGATGCTCACATCCTGGGTCTGGTCTCAGGTGAGCCACCATCCCCCGTCAGCTGCACACTACGTGTGCTCCAAGCACGGCTGGAGCCTCTGGCAGGAGATCACCATCTCTAGCAAGTTCCGGGGAAAATACATCTCCATCATGCCACTGGGTGAGTGGGGCCCTGTACCTTCCTGGGAAAGACATTCTGCTTAAGAGGGAGGATTGTGCCAGCCTAAAAGCTGGCTTGGGGCTTACAGGGCAAGATCTCCCGGCAGGTCAGGGGGCCTCCTCTGGACAGGCCTCCTGCTGGCTGGTGCCCTGGCCCACCCACCTCAACCCGCAGCCCACTTGAAGACTCCTGGGTCTCAAGATAGTAGCCTAGGGGCAGGCTGGCTGGCCACAGCCCCACATAGGGGTCATGACCTCCGACCTATACCTGCTTCCAGGTGCCATCCACTTAGAATTCCAGGCCAGCGGGAATCACTACGTGTGGAGGAAGAGCACCTCCACTGTGCACAACATCATTGTGGGCAAGCTCTGGATCGACCAGGTCAGGGGTGCCCTTGGGGATGGGGTGTATGGCCTGGGGATTGGCTACTGACCACCACCCTCTCTCGCTAGTCAGGGGACATTGAGATTGTGAACCATAAAACCAATGACCGGTGCCAGCTGAAGTTCCTGCCCTACAGCTACTTCTCCAAAGAGGCAGCCCGGAAGGTAAGCAGGGCACCCCCCTTAAAACCTCAGGGGGCCCAGAGTGGTGCATGTGCCTATACTGGTCCTGCCAATGTCCACAGGTGACAGGAGTGGTGAGTGATAGCCAGGGCAAGGCCCAGTATGTGCTGTCAGGCTCGTGGGATGAACAGATGGAGTGCGCCAAGATCGTGCAAAGCAGCCCCAGTAGCCCCAGCTCTGACGGGAAGCAGAAGACAGTGTACCAGACGCTGCCAGCCAAGATACTGTGGAAGAAGTACCCGCTGCCGTGAGTAGGCCCCTCCTCAGGCTATGGGACAGGGGTCAAAGGAGAGGGAAGGAGGCCAGTGAGCAGTAGACAGGCAGAGGACCCCCACCCTGACAGGAAACAAGTGACAGGCGCAGGAGGTGGAGAGGTCAGGTCCGCAGGTGGACAGAGAACAATGTTACACAGCTGACATCCCAGAAGGGAAGTTAGACACCCAACAGCAAATAACTGTGAAACCATCAGGTGGCAGCAAATTCTATACAGAGACTTTAAACAAGGTGATAAGACAGAGTCCTTCCCTGCATGGCTACAAGAAATGAAAACCAAACTTGAAAATACCTGTGGGAAACGGAAAACTATTAAAAAGTGGCAGAGCAGATTCCCAAGAGAATAAAATACAAATTATACAAGGAAAAATAACTGAAACAGAACTCCATGGAACAGTTTAATAAAATCTGTCACCTAAGTACAGATCAGAAGAAATGAATGAATTGGAGCATAAAGGGACAAAGCCTGGAAAAGACAAGTAGAAAGAGAAGGCTACCACTTAGTGATGCAGAGTGAGGTCCCTGGAACAGGTTCACCAGCATCTCCTGGGAGCTTGTTAGTGTGCAAACATCTCCCCAGAACACCTGCAGTGGAATCTGCGTTTTCGGTAAGATCCCTGGGCATGCCTGTGCACAGCAAGTTTGAAAGGAGGGTCTGGCATGCTTCCAGTCAGACGCCCAGAAGGAGAGAGAGACCATATCTGAAGAGAAAATAGCAAACAAGTTTGTACACCTAAATCTATACAGTGAAACACTGTTGAAACTGAGAGGAACTATTAAGCAGCCAGATTTTTAAAAGACATTATTTTCTACTCCGCTGCCGTGAGTAGGCCCCTCCTCGGGCAATGGGACAGGGGTCAAAGGAGAGGGAAGGAGGCCAGTGAGCAGTAGACAGGCAGAGGACCCCCACCCTGACAGGAAACAAGTGACAGGTGCTGTTCTGAAGAACAGCACACAGCTATCTCCTCCTCAACAGTAATGGGAGCTGAAGACAGTCAGATGTTATCTTCCGCGTGCTGAAAGACACATTGCCAGCATAGAATTATACACCTAGGGCGATCGTCTTTAAAGAAGGAAGTTGAAGTAAAGACATTTTTCTGGCAAACAAAAACTCAGTTTGCCACCAGCTGACCTTCCCTAAAGGATGTATCTTAGGCAGAAGGAACCTGATCCCAGATGGAAAATCGAGATGTATGAACGAATGAAGAACAAAAACTATGTGAACCTATGTGTATGTTGAATAAAGTCCTGTGGGGTTTAAAATTTTAGAAAGAACTGCACAGCCACATAAGTCAGATGAGGAATAAAGGGAACCTGTTCAAAGGCCTTCAAGCTACCCAGGAGGAGGGTCAAGACACGCATTAACTTTTTTTTTTTTTTTTTTTTTTTTTTTTGAGACAGAGTCTCACTTTGTTGCCCAGGCTAGAGTGAGTGCCATGGCATCAGCCTAGCTCACAGCAACCTCAAACTCCTGGGCTCAAGCAATCCTGCCTCAGCCTCCCGAGTAGCTGGGACTACAGGCATGCGCCACCATGCCCGGCTTACTTTTACTATATATATGTTAGTTGGCCAATTAATTTCTTTCTGTTTATAGTAGAGACGGGGTCTCGCTCTTGCTCAGGCTGGTTTTGAACTCCTGACCTTGAGCAATCCGCCCGCCTCGGCCTCCCAAGAGCTAGGATTACAGGCGTGAGCCACAGCGCCCGGCCACGCATTAACTTTTGATTGTATGAAATACCTATATTGTGATTCCTATGGTAACCACTAAAATAATACATTTAACTGGAATTCCAGAAGGAAAAGAAAGAAATTTTTTTAAATGAAGATGAGGGAGAAACAGTTAAAGAAATAGTGAAGATAAATTTTCCAGAATAAAAGTAAAAAGATAAAAAGACCCTTGATTTAACAGGCCTATAAAAGGCCAAAGACAAGAAATTAAGAAAAGCATTCACCTAGACCACAGTACAGTCTAAATTAAGAATACCAAAGAGAAAATTATAAAGATTCCAGAGAGGAGACAAAGGTTTCAGTCAAGGATAAAGAATTAGATTGACATTAGATTTTTCAACCACCAACATTAAAGTAGTATTTTCAATGTTAGGAAAAAAATGAAATTAGAAAGTAGAATTTTCTGTCCAGCCAAGCTCTCATTCAAATACAGGGATAAGACAGAGTCCCTCCCTGCATGGCTACAAGAAATAAAAAATATCCTTAGTCATACAGCCTCAGAAGTTTTTCCACACAAAAACCCACAATGAAAAGAGTATTGAAGGGGGAAGGGGAAAAAATCCAGATGACACTGAAATAAATATATGAGATAAAGTGGTTTTTTTTAAACAATTACTAGGACCAAAGAAAAAAAATATGCCCATAATAATACAAAATCAGAAGTCTAGCTAATGTAAGCAGGATGGGATTTGGGGAAAAGGGGAAGGACACCAAGGATGTGAAGAAATGCTAAGTGCTTATAGAAAGAAAAGACATACTTATAAGATTCCTAAAATAGTCATATAAGATTAGAAAGAAAAAGGACAAACAAAAACAGTAAATTAACATGGTATAGAAATAAGCCCAAGCATATCAATGATAAATAAAGCTTCCTAGTTACTTATTGGATTTTTAAAAATCCAGATACATGCCCTTTCTAAGAGACACCCACCATATAAAGCTGTGCAAAGGTTGAAAGCACAAAAGACATATCAAGAAGATACTAACCAAAAAAAGCCATATCATCAGGTAAAATAGACTGTAGGACAAAAGCATTAAGGAAGGAAAAGTCGCTATATAATAAAAAATTGAGTTCATCAAGAAAATATAGTTTCAAATATTGTATATACAGTAAAACAGCCTCAAAAATCAAAAATATACACAGCTAACATTGATACTTAAGGGAGCAATTGATAAATCCATCACTACAGGGGGAGAATGAGAGGTTTTAAAACATCCCTCAGTTGATAGGTCAAATGAGAAAAAACAAAAAACAAAACCCAGCAAGGATATGGAGATCAAAACAACACAATATATACAGGTTTATGGGTGTAACAGAGAACATATTTTTTCTCAAGTATACATGGAATGAATGTAACAATAAATCATGTATGAAACCCTAAAGCAAGCCTCAGATTTACAGAGGTAGCATATAGACCACAATCTGTGAAAAGACATCTGAATTAGAAGTTACAAACAAAATGATAAAAAAAAAATTCTAAATGTGTGGGGATTTTTTTTTTTTAAGAGACAGGGTCTTGCTCTGTTGCCGAATCTCTGCAGTGGTATGATCATGGCTCATTGCAACCTGAAGCTCCTGGGCTCAAGTGATCTTCCTGCTTCAGCCTCCTGAGTAGCTGGGACTACAAGTGCATGTCTTGCTATGTTGCCCAGGCTGGTACTGAACTACTGGCCTCAAGTGATCCACCCACCTTAGCCTCCCAGAGTGCTAGGATTATAGGCATGAGCCCTCATGCCCAGCCTAGAAAAAAATTTTAAGTTGTCAAATAACTCAGGGGTAAAATAAATTAGAATGGAAATTTTAAAATACCTAGAACTGAATGATATGAAAGAGATCAAAACTGACTGGATGCAACAAAAGGAAATGCCTCAAAGGAAATGTATTGCCTTACATAGTTTAATGTTGAGGCTTTTCCTTTTCTGAGTTTCCATTCTAAGAAATTAGGGAAAGTTTAACATATAAACCCAAAGAAAGAAGAAAATATACTTGAACAGAAATCAATAAAAAATTAAAAGGTAAAATAAAGAAGTTTGATAAAGCCAATAGTTGATTCTTTGAGGAAGAAAGCAACTGACAAAATACAAAAGTACTGGCAAGATAGAAATAAATATTAATAATGGGCCAGGTGTGGTGGTGGCTCACGCCTATAATCCTAGCATTCTGGGAGGCCAAGGTAGGAGAATGGCTTGAGCTCAGGAGTTCGAGACCAGCCTGAGCAACAGTGAGACCCTGTCTCTACTAAAAATAGAAAAAATTAGCCAGGTGTGGTAGTGCGCACCTGTAGTCCCAGCTACTCAAAAGGCTGAAGCAGGCTGGGTGCAGTGGCTCAGGCCTGTAATCCTAGCACTCTGAGAGGCCAAGGCAGGAAGATCCTTTGAGGTCAGGAGTTCAATACCAGCCTGAGCAAGAGCAAGACCCTGTCTCTACTAAAAATAGAAAGAAATTATCTGGACAACTAAAAATATATAGAGAAAAAAATTAGCCGGCCATGGTGGCACCTCCATGTAGTCTCAGCTACTTGGGAGGCTGAGGCAGAAGGACTGCTTAAGCCCAGGAGTTTGAGGTTTGCTGTTAGCCAGGCTGGCGCCATGGCACTCTAGCCCAGGCAACAGAGTGAGGTTCTATCTCAAAAAAAAAAAAAAAAAAAAGCTAGACCCTGCACAAAAAAAAAAAAAAAAAAAAAGCTGAGCTGAGGCAGGAGGATCCCTTGAGCCAAGGAAAGTGAGGTTGCAGAGTAAGCTATGATCATACGAATGCATTCTAGCCAGGGGCAAAAGAGCTAGACTCTATTACAAGCACAAAATGCTGCTAAAAAAAAAAAAAAAAAAAGAGCTAGACTCTGCATCAAAAATAAATAAATAAATAATGAAAAAGGCTTAATATGATATGTAAAGTATAGAGATAGTTAAAACTCAGATGGGAAAGCCAAATTCTTGGAAAAATATTAATATAACTTTCAAGAACTAACTCTAGAAGAAATTAAAAGCATGAATAATCCTATAATAAATAATTAAGGAACTGAAGCAGTAGTTTGAAACTTAATACAAGGCCCAGATAATTTTAGAGGTGAATTTTACCAATTTTTCAAGAAATGTGCCAATTTTATATAAAGTCTTATAGACCATAAAAAAAGAGGAAATATTCTCTCCTGTACTATGAGGCCAGGATAACCATCATACCAATCCAGCTAAGACAGCAATAGGAAAGTATTAGTTCTACCCTATTGCACTTGTGAATATACAAATAAATATGCAAAACAGATATCAGAAAATCCAATCCAACAGTGTATGAAGATAACATTCTATAATCACATTGAATTTATTTGGGTACACAAGAATTATTTTATATTAGAAAATCCATAAAGTAATTCACCATAATAACAGATTTCAGTAAAAATGGATTTCTGAAAAATGTCTATGGCCACACCACCCTGAACTGATCTGATCTCAGAAGCTAAGCAGGGTTGGTCTGGTTAGTACTTGGATGGGAGAAAAAGTATTTTAGGTACCTAAGATATAGGGTTAATATACAAATCAGTTGCATTTTTATGTACTAACAGCAAATGACTAGAAAAATGCAATTTAAGAGAAGACGCTGGTTATCATGACAGAACATCAAGAACCTTATAATATTAATAAATCTTATATTCAAGACCTCTATAGAGAAAATAATAAAGCTTTACACTAAGATGTCAAAGAGCTAAATAAGTGGAGAAAGCTACATTGTTCATGGATAGAAAGATAGTATTGTAAAGATGTCATGATCAAAAAAGTCTAAAAGATGTATGTATCTCTGATATAAAACAAATGTGGCATGTCGGATCATGTGAAAAGATGGAACTGTTGACTAAATGGGATCTGGGAAAAAATGGAAAAAGATTAACTGAATCATGCCCTTATATTGTAACAAAAACTGGCTTCAGATAAAGGTCTTACAGTAAGTATTAAGTCTGACTTATTGTTTAACAAAAAGTTAATAATTCTAAGTAAACATATAGATGAGTGTCTTTAAGACATTAAGAAAATATATCTTAAGACATAAGAAATCACTGAGGCATTTGACTATATTAAAATACTTTTGTTCATTAAGAGAACTTTTTGGTCATTAAAAAACAATTTAAAGAAAGTAAAAAGACAGTGTATAAACTTGAAGAAGGTAATTATTAAAAATGATGCAAAAAATGATGCAACACCTAAAAAATGATTATTTTATCACAATTAAAAATAATTTAAAAATACATAAAGACCTTCTGAACAACAAATAGAGCAAAAACAATCCAATGGGAAAATGTGCAAGAGTCATGAACAAGAATTTCACAGAAGAAACATATGGCCAGTCATATGAAAACCATAATCAACATTATTGGTAATCAGGGAAATGCAAATCAAAACCACAATGAGATGTCATTTTATATTCATTTCATTAGCAAAAATGAAAAGATCTGATGATATCAAGTGTTGAAGAAGATGTAGATCCATAGTACCTCTTTTACATCACTGATGGGAGTATAAATTGGCAAAAACATTTCGGAAAACAGTTTTGCCTTAATTCCTAAAGGTAAACCATCACATACTCTATAACCCAGTAATTCTACTTCTAGGAAATACTCGAAAAATTCTTGCAAATGTACAATAGGAAACATGCATGAGACTATTCCAATAGTAAAAACTTGGAACAACCCAAACTTATTCAATAACTGTGGTATATTCACATGACAGAATATTGTACAGACTAGTTAAAACAAATGAACCCTCACAACATGAAACGATATAGATAAACCTTAGCGATATAAGTAAAAAATAAAAAGTCCCAGAAAGTTACATATATCATTATATTCTTTTTATACAATTAAAAACATGTACAATATATGTATATGAATATGTACAGAGAGAGAGAAAGAAACACTGACTTAAGAATACTTAAAGATGCAATAAAATTTTATTAAAAGGAAAGCAAAGGACTGAGAACCCAGGAGTCTTGCTGATGGCTATCTAAGCAGGGGATGGATTGGTGGGTTTTCCATGTAGTTAGATATAAGTTTTTGTCAAGATTCTACCTTTTTGTTTAGGGCAGCAGTACTGCATTAATAAAATCAGGCCATGGGCCGGGCGAGGTGGCTCACGCCTGTAATCCTAGCACTCTGGGAGGCCGATGCGGGCGGATTGCTCAAGGTCAGGAGTTCGAAACCAGCCTGAGCAAGAGCAAGACCCCATCTCTACTATAAATACAAAGAAATTAATTGGCCAACTAATATATATATAGAAAAAATTAGCCGGGCATGGTGGTGAATGCCTGTAGTCCCAGCTACTTGGGAGGCTGAAGCAGGAGGATTGCTTGAGCCCAGGAGTTTGAGGTTGCTGTGAGCTAGGCTGATGCCACGGCACTCTAGCCTGGGCAACAGAGTGAGACTCTGTCTCAAAAAAAAAAAAAAAAAAAAAAAAAAAAAAATCAGGCCATGCAATAAAGAGAGGGTGTCATGTAACAAGGATAATTAATCCAAATCTGTGAGGTCCAAAAAGGGCAGAACAAAAAGAAAAAAACAAGACAGTAGACTTAAATTCAACATATCTGTACTGGCACAGTAATTACATTAAGTAATTTCAGACAAGTTTTTAAAAACCTACCTATATGTTGTTTGCAAGAGATATATCTAAATAAGAAAACAAAGACTGGAATAAAAGAAGATATGTCCATGGAAATACCACACAAAAGCTTCTATAGTTATATTTGTATCACAAAAGAGATTTTAAAAAGTAATTAATACTAGAGGTAACAGACAGTTCATAATGATGGTTTAGTTCACCAGGAAGATGAGTTTTAAATTTGAATGTACTTTGTACCTAATAACATAGCTTCAAAATATATACAGCAAAATGTTGATAGAATTATTAGGAGAAAGGGACTAATTTACAACCAAAGTCAGAAAGTTTGAACAACAGAACCAGTTATAGAACACTGCACTCAATAACTATAGCAAACACATTCTCTTCAATCAATGGAACATGAGCAAAAACTGACCATATACCAATACATAAAATAAGTTTGAAAAGACTGAAATTATGCCAAGTATCAATATGTTGTCTGACTCCAAGGCAATTATGCTAGAAAAACAATGAGTAGAAAAATTGCCATATGTTTATAAATTTAAGAAAAATTGTCATATGTTTATTAATTTAAGAAATATGCTCTCAGCTAATCCATAGGTCAAAAAGGATAAAATGAAAATAAAAATGTTTATGACTAAGCAGTGGGATTCAGCTAAAGCAGTACCTGGAGTGAAATGTGTGGCCTCAAAATGCACATAATAGAAAAGCTGAAAGATAATAAGCTATGCAATTCCCAGAGAAGTCTTATGTGGCCACAACAGCTGCAGGTTGGTGGAGTGAGGTGCAGGAGATAAAAAGCGAGTTGCCCACAGCGGCTGGGTTTGGCTGGGTCAGTTAATCAGGGGCAGACCCAGGGTGCTGGGGAAGGTCCACCCGGGCCAGAGGGAGCCCTGGGCAGGGAGAGCTGGAGGGCAAGAACATGCAGGGCCAGGCAGGAGAGAGGTGCCCCAGGGATAGGGATCAGGTCCCACTCACCCCGCTGCCCCCGCTGCCCCAGGGAGAATGCGGAGAATATGTACTACTTCTCTGAGCTGGCCCTGACCCTCAACGAGCTCGAGGACGGTGTGGCGCCCACCGACAGCCGCCTACGGCCGGACCAGCGGTTGATGGAGAAAGGCCGCTGGGACGAGGCCAATGCGGAGAAGCAGCGGCTGGAGGAGAAGCAGCGCTCATCACGGCGCCGGCGGCTGGATGGCTGCACGCCCAGCAGCGGCTGTGGCACAGAAGAAGGTGAGGTTGGGCGGGGAGGGTGCCCAGGACTCAGAGGGGTGTTTCCGCAGGGACAGGAGCAGGGTCCCAGGGAGCAGGGCCCCCACCCACCTGCTGCCCACTGTGCCCGCCCAGCAGAGAAGGAAGCGGACGTATACTTGCCACTGTGGTTCGAGAAGAAGCGGGACCCGCTGACGGGGGAGATGGCCTGCATATACAAGGGCGGCTACTGGGAGGCCAAGGAGAGGCAAGACTGGCACATGTGCCCCAACATCTTCTGAGCGCCATCCCTGCAGCCAATACAGGCGCCTGCACAGCCGGGTCCACCTTTTCTTTAATGCACTCAACTTAGTACTGAATGGCCCCTCTCCCACCAACCCCCTATTTCAGTTCCTTTTTTTTTTTTAACACATTTTTTGGGCTCCCACCTTGGAAGGAGGAAGGGCTGACCCGGGTTCTCTCTAGCCCCCAGGTGCACCAGGTCACCCATGCCCCTTCATTACGCATTTGGGCCCCATCAGAACCCCAGCTCTCAGTCACCAAAACTCAGGCCGGCTGGCCCGGGCCATGGGCTGCCCAAGTCACCAGCCCCTAACCCAGGGAGGAACTGGCCCCTCCTAGGGAGCCTCTTTTGACTTTTTTAGAAAAATTATCTCCATTTCTTTCCAGCCTTGATGTTTAGTAAATATTTTTAGAACAGAACTTAGCAGACAGCTTTCCAAGTGTGCTTTCTTGCCACAAAAGTGTCCTGGCAAGAACCCCTTCTTTTTAAGACATCAGGAAGCCAGACCCATTTGAGTTGGGAGCATTTTGTAGCTCAACATAGCCAGGCCCTGATTGTATCTGAGCTGCCCACCCCCAGGAGCCCAGGACCCCACAGAGACCAGAACAGAAGGTGGGCTGCCCTGGCCCAGCAGAGCACAAGGAGTTTCTGGATCTACAGCCCACTGACGGGGAGGGGGCACTGAGGGCAGCAGCCCCAGCCTAGCCATGCTTGGGCCAGGAAGGGCTGGAAGGCAGGGCCTGCGGGTGCTCCCCGCCCCAAGACCCAGGCCCCAAATCAGCAATAATGAACAATCCCTCAGCTCAGCCTGGGCTGGAGACCCGGGCACCAGCAACCCAGCATCCTGCCTCGTCCTCAGGCAGCTCCTGGGCTGCCCCATCTCAGTGCCCCCTGAATTCTTTATTTGCCTAATTTATATATGATATATAAATATATATATATATATTTTGCTTAAATTTCTATGGTATGTGAAAATGAAAAAAATGATGAAGACAGGGTATGCCTGTCTGAGTTTGGCCCTCCTGGTCAGCTGTGCCCTGTCCTCTCCTCAAAACCACTTCCAGCGGCTTCTGCCAACCCAGGGGGACTGGACCACCATGGCCACTGTCACAGCCCCTCCGAACCTCCCACTCCAATCTTTCCCACTTTAGTTAAGTCCTGAAAGTTCATTGCAGGGTTTTTCTTTCTACTCCACGACTGGTTTTGTTTTTATAAAAAACACAAAAGTGAAAACACCGTGTGAAATGCCTTACGATGCCCACTCCAGGGGTGGGGTGCGGCGGGGTGGGGCGGGGCAGGATGGCCCTACCTGGCCTCCCTGCAGAGCTTTGGGATGTACCTCCCCCAATACTGTTTGTGAGCGAGCACCTTTTGACTGGTAATAAAAAACCTTGGCTTTGGAGTTTTCCACTGCTCTGTCCCTGAATCTGTCTGTGGCTGGGTGGAGGAAGCTGACACCACAAGTGACAGCCCAAGGTGGCATGGGAAGAGGAACATGCAAAGGTAGGTCTGTCCGGGGGTCTGGGCCAGGAAGGCTGCCCATAGGGCTGAGTCAGCACCACTGGCACAAACTCAGGGGAGGGGCAGCACCCCTGCCAGGGGCTATCTTGATGCCACCGCCACAGGGCTGGTCTCGACCCAGATCCATGCCTCCCCTAGAAGGGCAGTGTGTTAGCCATGTGCAAGCCACCAGCAGCCCCTCCTATCTTTGAGATCCTGGAGCCACCTAGGGTGAGACCTCCGAGGGAAGGCCCACCCTGTGAGTTCTGTTGTTGCTTGACAACCGTGGCCTGGGCTGCTTCTGTTGCCCCAGTTGCCAGGCAGCTTGGATCACTAGCTCCTCACACCCAGCCACAGTGGCTTGTGGTCCGGCCTGTGCTCTTCCCGCTGCCAGTGCTTCCAGGTGAGGGGTTGGGGTAGGTCAGGGTACCACAAGGGCCTCAAGGCCAGGGCTCTGACCATCTGTCTCGATGCCCCAGCACTGGGATCCAGAGCTGGCCCTGCAGAGCTCTGTCCTCGCCCCCCCATCTGTGGGGAGGTGGCCACTGGGGAGTCTGGCAGAGGATCTGGAGGGGCAGGTCTCACTGGAATATAAGGGGGAGGGTGGAGGCAACCCAGGATGGACTCGCCTCAGAAGGTATTGGAGGGGGCCCGCCAGGTGAGGGGACAAAGGCCAGTCTATTGAGGCAAAGCAAGGGACCCAAAGAGCCTGGAGTATACCAGGCAGAGCTCTCAATGGAGTGACATCAGGACAAGGTTCTAGAAAGACCACTCTGACCAGCAGGACACAAAATGGACCTACATTCATGGTCTCCTATATACCAGGCATTGCTGAGTAGAAAGCATAATAGAAAAAAAAAAATTCTGCAACATAGGCCATAAGAGATCAAGCATACATCTGATTTAAAAAAAGAAAAACATGTAAAAGACCTTTCTGGATGTGACAGAGGAGACATGAATGAAGAGGGAAAATACCATCTTCACAGATGGGCAAATGTTGGTTATGTCAGTCCCAAATCTATATAAATTCAACATGACCCCTATCAAAATCCCATGATATAGTTTTTAAAAACTTGACAAGTTGATTGTGAAATTTATATGGGCAAGTTAACTGTATAAAAACAATGGCTTTAAGAATTATACAAAGGAAGAACTTGGCAGGGGGTGGGAGGGGCATTGGCGGCTTGACCTGTGGATGCCCAAACAAGCTAGAAAGAGACTGACAAACAGCTTCCTTTGTCTCCGCGGCATTAATATTACCATGTGGCGTGCCATGTATTGTACTTATTTGTTTAATGTCTGTCTTCCCTACCCCCAATGGACTGTGAGCTTCAAGAGAGTAGGAATCTTGTATGTCACACATTATAGCATCCCCAGTGCCTAGCACATAGTAGGGGCTCAATAAATAATTGCTAAATGAATTCCAGGCCAGGAAGACCAGCTAAAGCACAGGCTCGGGTCAATACTTGGGCAGCTAGGGAGCATGGCTGCAGTACGAAGTTGTGAAGGAAGCCTCAGAGACAGGACTAAGAGCTGAACCCAGGGACCCAGGATGATCCTGCTTCCCCCAAACTCTAGAGCCCAAAGGCTGTGCCTGACAGACTATGGGGTAGAAGTCTAAAAGAATCTGGAAGGAGAAAGAGGAGGCCTGAGGTTCCCTCGTCTCCAGGGCTGAGGCTCAATGTGAGGGGAGCAGGGAGGAGAAAACACCAGAGAGACAGATTTCGAAGTGTAACACAGAGAACAACAGAGCCAGAGATGACCTCAATGCTATTTAACTTACTCTTTTTATGAAGCTAACCAACATGCATAACTTCAACAACAAGACCTGATAAAGACAGTGCTAAAATATAAGAAACATATAGTCTGATCTCACGTAAGAAAAGAATTTTCATAAATCCAAACAAGACAATAACAAGTAGAATCCAACCACATACAAAAGACTGATATCCCAAGTTGGTGAACCCAAGCCCAAATTAGGTTTACTGTAGCAATATGAGAATGGCTCAATGTTGGGAAGCTTTATATTGTAAGTCATACATTATATTAGCTGGTTCAAGAAGTTCTCTTCCTGGCAATATGGTGGACTAAGTTCCTGGGAAATATTACTTTGTGGGAAACTAGACATGCTGGATAAAAAAAAAAAAAAATTTAAATTTTAAATGCACCCAATTAGCTGGAAAGAATGTAAGGAGTACTCAAGCCAAATATTAAGTGGGTATGGAAACCTAAAGAGAGAAGAGCTCTGAAGTCTTTAACCTTACTAAGCCCAGTGATCCTAACTATAAGTTTTCATTGCTTCAAAAGACCCTCCCAAGCAGGGCATCTAATAGATATCCCTCAGAAAGCTGGGCCCCGCCCCTCAGCACGCTATAACCTTCAATGTAATGGTGAATCCGAAGTAAAACACAAGGAAAACTGTGTTAAAGGTTGGTCCTGAGAAGAGCAGAAAAATCAGCTAAGAATTTGTAATTAGTAGTGGACCCTCAGTTAGTTTTGCACACCAAATACACATTTTCTGAATGGTCCAATAAACCCTTAACAGAACATAACATGGTCCCAAATTGGTGAACTGCCTAGTCACCTGAGAGAAGCAAACAAGTCCTCTCTAAAGGATCTCCCCTTTATTCTAGGCTTTATGGAACCCCAGATATGAAGTTGCAAGAAAAATGAGCAGCTCACAGTACAAAATATTTAAACACATGAGGAAACAAGCCCCCAATGAGTAAAGGCAACTGGAAATAACAGATAGCATTATCAAACACAAAACTCCATATAGTGAAATTAACAGATACAGAATAGAAAATAAGCATGTTTAATATATTTCTAGAGGCCAGGCATGGTGGCTCACGCCTGTAATCCTAGTCCTCTGGGAGGCTGAGGCAGGATGATCGCTCAAGGTCAGGAGTTCAAAACCAGCCTGAGCAAGAGCGAGACCCCGTCTCTACTAAAAATAGAAAGAAATTAATTGGCCAACTAAAAATATACATAGAAAGAATTAGTCAGGCATGGTGGCGCATGCCTGTAGTCCCAACTACTCGGGAGGCAGAAGGATTGCTTGAGCCCAGGAGTTCAAGGTGGCTGTGAGCTAGGCTGACGCCAGGGGCAACAGAGTGAGACTGTTTCAGAAAAAAAAAAAAAAAAGCTCATATTATAATATGCAAATTTAATATCCAATTTGAGTAAGAAAATGAACATTAGGATGAACTCAAAGAAAGGAAATAAAGATAAGAAATTAAGTAGAAAACAAACATGATAAAAAGGACCAAAAAACCTATGGTTGATTCTTTGAAAAACTAAAATTGACAAACTCTTGGAATTACAGATCAGGAAGAGAGACAAAGGGAGGAAGGTAAGAGAGAGGGAAGGAAACAAATGAACTAAAAAAACAATATTTGGAATAAAAATGGGACATAAATACAGACACTAGAAACATCTAAAAATAAGGATATTATGAACACCTTTGACAACATTTTAAAACTAAGATGAAATGGATAATTCCTAGGAAAATATAACAAAACTGACTCAAAATCACAGAAAAATCTAAATAGTATTATATCCATTTTTTAAAAACTTAGATCAGTTAAAAATAACCCCTCAACATATACACACAAAAACCCTAGACACAAACCACCAAGAAATAACTCCAGTCCTACAGAGATTAATCCAAGAGTATAGAGAAAGAGGAATACTCCCAAACTTTTTTCTTAAAGCTAACATAACCCGGTCACCAAAACCAGAAGAGACAATTACAAGCTAGTGTAACTTATAATGGTAAAATTCAAAACAAAATATTAACAAATCTAGCAACATAGAAAATAATAACCATCATTACTCCAAAAGTGCAAGATTAGTTTACTCTGATAAAAACTAAACAATGTCATTTTTATAAATTAAAGGAGAATGCTATATGGTCATCTCAATGGATACAGAAAACACTTTAGATTATATTCAACATCCATCCATGATAATTAAAAGGAAAAAAATGCTTACCAATAGGAATGGAAGGAAACTTCCATAATCTGATTAATTATAGCTACACACACACAGATTTTCCTGTGAGACAGGAAACAAAGTACTCACGTTTCCCCTTTATATTCAACATAGTAGTCACAGCCAATGTAATAAGGCAAGAAAAATATATAAAGAATGAAAACTGTCAAAATTATCATTATTCACAGTTGATATGACAAAGTCCAAAGAATCTATAGCTAAAATAATCAATATAAAAATTAATTTCATTTTTATATACTAGCAATAAACTGTCAGAAAATGTAATTTAAAAATAACATCTACAGGCCGGGCACAGTGTCTCATGCCTGTTGTAATCCTAGCACTCTGGGAGGCTGAGGCCGGAGGATTGCTTGAACTCAGGAGTTCGAGACCAGCCTGAGCAAGAGTGAGACCTCGTCTCTGCTATAAATAGAAAATTAGCCAAACAACTAAAAAAATAGAAAAAAATTAGCCAGTAGTCCCACCTACCTGGGAGGCTGAGGCAGGAGGATCGCTTAAGCCCAGGAGTTTGAGGTTGCTGTGAGCTAGGCTGATACCACGGCACTCTAGCCCAGGCAAGAGAGTGAGACTCTGTCTCAAAATAAATAAATAACCTTTACAATAGCATTATAGCTCATCAGGTACCTAGGATATATCTAATAAAAGACAATTTCTCTAAAGAGAAAATTATAATACTTTTTTGAGAGACACTAAAGAAGATCTAAATTAATGGAGAATTATACCATCTTCATGGTTTGGAAGACTTATAAAGATATCAATTCTTCTCAAATTGATGACAGATACATTAAATTCCAATAAAATTCCTACAGGCTTTCTCATGAAGCTTGATGATTCTAAAATTTATATGGAAATACAGAAGACTAAGATTAGTCAAGACACTCTTCAAATAGAAAAATTAGGAGGACTGGCTCTATTAGATATCAAAACTTACTGTAAAACTATAAATAATTAAAGCAGTATTGGCATAAAGAAACAACAGACAAATATAAAAGTCCAGAAACAGATTCCTACATAAATGAACATTTGATATATAAGAGAACAATAGAGAAAGAAAAGACTTGTCAATAAGGTGTGTTGGGGCAACCAGATATACATATGAAAAAGCAGAGGAGGGGGAAAGGAGAGAGGACAGAAAATTGGAGCTCTACCTCACACCACTGCCATGAAAGTCAATTCCAGGTAGATTAAAGATCTATACAGATGCTCCTCAACTTATAGCTTGGTTATGTCCCAATAAACCCACCTTAAGTCTAAAATAACTAACCTACTAAACATCATAGCCTAGCCTACCTTAAACATGCACAGAACACTTCCATTATCTTACAGTTGGGCAAAATCATCTAACACAAAACCTATTTTATAATAAAGCATTGAATGTCTCATGTAATTTATTGAATACAGTATACTGTAGAGTATTGGTTGTTTACTCTTGTGATCACATGGCTGGCTGGGAGCTGTGGCTCACTACCACTGCCTAGCATCACAAGAGCATCATACCAAATATCACTAGCCCAGGGAAAGATCACAACTCAAAACTCAAAGGTTTCTACTGAATGTGTCTCGCTTTCACATCATCATAAAGTTGAAAAATCATACTCCAAATCCATCATAAGTCAGAGACCATCTGTATATGAAAGAACTACAAAGGCTTCAGAAGATAATATAAAATAATATCTTCATGACCTCAGATTAGAGAGAGATTTCTTAAACAAGTTATAAGAATTGAAAACTATCAAGAAAAGACTGATAAATTATTTTAAATTTTTTTTTTTTTTTTGTATTCCTGTTTGTGTATTTCTCAGAGTAGCCTCAAGTAGCTGTGGGGTTAGGAACAGGAGGGGCACAGCCATCCCCAGGTTGTCTGAGCACTGAGCATCTGAGTGCTCAACCTCTCTGTACTAGCCACAGGGAGGCATGAACACATTTTGGGGAGAAGAGGGACTACTCTGTTGGTGTCCCTGCTTCAAGTGCCCATATCCCCTCCACAGAGTAGCTACAGAGGCGCTGCCTTGCCCCAAGGCAGCCAGTAGGGAACCGAAAGTGGAGGACTAGGGCAGCGTCCCAGGGCTGAGTGGGCTGTGGCCCTGTGGTGGGAAAGTGTGGGGGTCAGAGAGCCTCCTGGCTGGCAGTTAGGAACTCTTCCGCCCGCTTGTGTGCCTCCAGTGCCTTGATGGTGTACACATCCTGGGGCAGCTCTGACTTCCTCCGCAGTAGCACTTTCTCCTTCTTGATGTCCTTTAGCATCTGCACAGCCTCAGTCTCCACCGTCCTCTTCAGAAGCTGGATGTCCTCTGCTGTGGGGGTCTCTGTCTCCATCGAGTACACAGGGGGCAGTGGTGGAGGAGCTCGGAACATGGGATACTGGGGATTAAGCCGGGCAAGCTCCTCGATTTTTTGCCACATCTCTTCCCTTTCCTTCATTCAGAACCGGCCTTTCTGCTTCTCTGCCTTATATTGTTGTGTGCAGTCATCAAACAGCTTCTGATTCATTTCCATAAACAGCTTCAGGGCATTATAGATCAATCCATGGATTGTCTTGTTCCAGTGACTCTTGGAGTTCCTGTAGAGTGCAGGGAACATGATGGGGAGGACTCGGGCAGCTTATCAGGCTCATGATATACTCATTGTTCCAGTAATAGCACGCTCTGCCACCTGGAAATGGGGGCTGGAGACACATTTGGCAAGCTGGCGGAAGAGTGGTTCCATGACTTTGCTGAACTCTGAAGGTTCAATGACGTCCAGAATCTCCTCTAGTTCATTCAAGAACATCACCTCCTTAGGGCTGTGGGTCTTGGGCCAAAACTTGAGAAGTCCCACAATCACCGGCTCAGTCAGACTGCTCTCCTTCTCCAGGAACTGTACCACACAGTATGCCAACTGAGGGTGGTAGACACTAAGGGACTTGACCTTGTGAAGGGGAAGCAGGACACGAATAAGGAACATCTTGTGCTCTTCCTTAAGGGGCAGGGCAAAGCCATTGATGATGCTGCCAAGGATCTCCAGGAGCTCAGCAATCCCATTGTGATGCTCGGTCTCGTAGATAAACCTGTAGAAGATGTGGTTGATCTGCCTACGAATATAAGCCCGGAGCCCCAAAAACTTGCCATAGATGCGATGTAAAATGGTCTTGAGGAAGTCCCGCTCTCTAGGATCCTCACTGTCAAATAAGTCTAGGAGAGCAAGGACAAACTTCTGGTCAATGTACTTCTTCGCTATGTTTGGCTGGAAATCAGGAGACTCAAGGAAACGTAAGAAAAACTCATACACGAGCTGGAGGTGTGGCCAGGCAGCTTCGAGGGTGGGCTCATCTTCCTCTGGGTCAAATTCGGCCCCTGTGGGATTTGATGAAGGTGGCAGCGTCTGGAAAAGGTTCACTGAAAACATGGTGACAGCCTCAGGGTAAATGGCCTCGGTGACGACATCACGGCTGTGGGTGATGTACTCCACCATCTCGTTGAGTCCTGCCCGTTTCACCTCCTTAAATTTGAGGTCACTGAGTGGGTCTGACACGAAGTCAAAGAGGACACAGCACTGGCGTAGCTTCTGGATAAACAGCTCCTCCCGCTCCTGAGTTGGCGAATCTTTCAGGGCAGGAAGCTTCTGCAGCTCCCGGTTCTTGCTGAGGTTGAAGCGGGAGGAGCTTTGCCGTCGCTCCTTCTTGACAATCTGAGGCCCCCCTGAGTACTTGAATTTGCTGAGCTGTGTAGGGGGTGGCGTGCTATTGCTGGGACGCTTGTTGGATGATGGTGGCTGCGGCTGAGCCTGGGGTTGGGCTTGTGGCTGGGCCTCCTCGGTGTTCTCGCCTCCACCATCCTTGCCTGAGCTGCTGGGCTTGGCCGTGCCTTTGGCAAGCTTGGGGGGCTCCTCCTCCTTCTTCAGTTTATAGGGCATCTCGGCCCGTCCGGACCCGGCCCAGCTCCTGCGGCCCCGCTCCGGCTCCGGCTTTGCTCGGCCGCACTCGGCCCGCTCCGCGTCTCTTCCTATTTTAAATTTTTAATTAAGGATTTCTATTCACCAAAAGACTCAGGCATGCCAAAGAGTTGAAGAAGAAATTTGCAACTCAGATAACTTACAAAGAATTTGTCTCCAGAATATACAAAAAAATAAGAAAAAGACAAAAGAATAGAAAAATGGGCCAAAATCTTAAGCAAACACTTCATTAAGGAACTCTAAATGGTCAATAAACATAGTAAGAGTCAGGATCAAGATGGCGGACTAGAAATACCGCCAGAAAGAGTGTCTCTGCAGAAAAGACAGATTCTAGCAGAAATTAGAAAATAGAAGCAAGAAGGCGAGCATACAGCAGACGAGGGCCGGAAGGAGGGGTACCTGAGACCCTGGGAGACTCCACAGGAGGAGGCTGCAGAGGAGAACTGGAAGCTGAGACCGCCGGAGAAGCCCAGAGACCAGTGGAAAGGGTAGGTGGATCAGTCACCTTTCCCCTCCCCTGCATCTGGGACTGCTGGTGGGCTTCCCAGCGGGTGGAGAGACCTGCGGACACCAGCCCAGAGACGGCCGCCGCCTCCAGCGGTGAGCCTGTAGCAGACGTGGCACCAGGTTCCAAACTTCCTCCAGGCACCTCCGTGTGCACAGACCCAAGCTGCACGGCAGGCGCCATATTGCCTCCTCCTCCCCTCCGCCGACCCTACCCGCGGCTGCCAAGAGAGACAATACTGCCACCAGCCAGAGGCACCTCCAGGGAACGGGAACCTCCCTTTTGGGACCCTACAGCTGACTCAGGAGAACTCAGACTGTGAGCTCCCTACCCGCCAGCCCTCCCAGGTGCTGCTGGCACGGTGTTCCCAGGAGAACGGTGCCGACTCAGAGGCTGAGAGACACAGACACAGCTTGGGCTCCCTGTGGGTGAATTGGGACCGGAACTCCTCTCCCTGTGGAAAGTTTGAACTCTGGGACCTAGAGGTCGGACCTGCAGACCAGATCCCGTGCACCGAGGTCTAGCATTCCCCCGGGCACAGAAGGGATATTTGTGAACAGCCCGCTGAGGTGTGTGTGCCTCCAGGGGCAGATCAGCGTCCTAGAGGGCAACCCTCCCACCAAAGGGAGGCTGTGCGCCCAGCCCAGCAGCGTTTCTGCGCAGGGAACCTTCCCGCAGCATCACAATCCGGGAGGACTGGTGGCATGTGGTCTGGCCTGCTGGCAGAGACCCAGGAGTAGCTGTGGAGTCGGGGAGGGTGGAAAGAAGCGAGGCCTGCTCCAGACTGCGGGTCTCAGACAGCCCCACCCCCACAAGCAGACTTTCTGGCTGAGCGGGACCATTCCAGCCCCGCCCTGACAGCTTTTCCTGGAAGCAGAGAACAGAACTTTGACCCCTGCTAACTGCCTGAGGGCAGGCTTACCCAACTCAGCTCCGTCCAGAACAAGAGCTGATAACAGGACACAAAATCAACAGCATAGCCTGTTCCTCCAAGCAAACGCCACCCTACTGACAGGACGGCATCTTGCACAGCCTTTTCACGGCACCCACTGATCAATATACAGGAGTGTCCAATCTCACCCACAGACACCACCTAACGCCTCAGAAACTAAACAAGGTGTGACTACCCAAACAATAACTAAAGAAAGAAACAAAACTGATGACATGGGAAGACAGCAGAAAGAACTCAGAAATATGAAGAACCAAACGGAAAACACCCCCAAAAGGAGCACCAGGCCCTAGAAACGACACCAACCCAAATCAGTGCAACCAAAATGACAGAAGAGGAATTTCGTATGTGGACATAAGAACACTCACCAAGCTGCAACAACAACTCAATAACAACACAAAGAAACCACCAAAAAGCCTCTAGGATCTGGAAAAAGAAATGGACACAATGAAAAAAAGTTTAACTGAACTCCTGGAAATGAAGAATCAATTTCAGAACTACAAAATACAGTTGAAAGTCTCACCCAGCAGACAGTAGTCAAACAGAAGGAGAAGGGATGCATTAATTGTGATGAGCCCTAGTGATTTCTTATCCCGTTCCGCAAGAAGTCACCTGGTCCATTTCCACGGTTAAGGCGGAGTGTTAACAGAAGAGACACCCGGGTCACTTTTCACAGTCAACGAGGATACGGTAGTCCAGAGAAGGCTGAGCATAGATTGGAGAAAAGCAAAGCAGAGACCAGACAAGAATGGGCGGCTCTGCCGGAACGTGGTGTCAGGACAAGCTGTGTGTGACTGTGTGCAACTAGTAACACCCTTCAAGTGTCCGGCTCAGCTCGAGCTTCCATTAGGCTGTCACCAGGCCCCAGACAGCGACGATCTGGATAGAAAGGAATCAATCACGTGCCGGCTGGAAAGGGACCGTTCTCGTCCTTCCCATGTGCTCCATGACACTTCAGGCGCTTCACTTCCTCGCGGGAAACACCCTGGTACACCATATGTGTGTTTTTCCCCAGAGAAGCAGCTTATACCACCAGAAAATGGTCTTCCCCCCACTGCTGAAGATGTCTTGCTCTCACCCCTTTATTAACATAAAGGAGTTTATATCCATGTGTCGTGCAAATTTAGAAAAAGATGAGTTATAGAAAAGCACCAAGGAAGGCTTATAAATTCGGCACTAGTTCACCTAGACAGTAGATAAAACCCACATCCAGAGAACACGGCAAAGGACTGTGACCGTGAGCTGTGTGCGCACTGCCCGATCTTGGTCATGTCCACTAAGCCTTCTCTATTTATTTTTTTTTTTTTTGAGACCGTAGTTATCAATATCTCTCGCTCTCGCAGGCTAGACGTGATGCCGTGGTCTACATAGCTCACAGAAACATAAAATATCACATCAAGGAGGATGGAACGCCGATCCTCTTTTCTGTTAGAAGAGCCTGTACAGACAGAAGATAGCTAGAACTAGCAGAACAAGGCATGGACACCGATGTGCCGAGCTACTTATATGTAATCCAAAGTTTCGATAATAATAACTCAACTTTTCACGCATGGTGTGTCTTCTCATTATAATGTAATCTTTCTATTTTAGATCAGAAGCAGAGGATCGTACACTGAAGACTCTGGTCAGCATCCCCGACCTCAGAGCATCACCGCCCGCTTCCTTTTTTCGAAGGACACCTACCGAATGCCCACAGCCTTTCTGCCTGTACGAGATTACAGGGCAGTGAGCCACACTTTGCAGCACGGCCCTTCCTATTAGCATCTCTAGTGTTCATCTGATGGAAGTACATTTATAAACAGAACTTATTCATCTTCTCTCAGAATGTGGCAAATTATACTGCTCATAACACCAGTTATACTCTATGTATGAGAATTATACCGTCACAAAGTGAACGTATTACCCAGCCCTGTACTAAAGATGTATCAAATCAGTACAAGAAGAGCCCCAGTTTTTCAGACTGCGGACGCGTATCGGTCGGTGGTGAAAACCATTTAATTATGAATAAACTCGGGGATTGTGCTTGAACGGTCACATCTTAATAGGTAGACAAGGAGGACACAGGTTTCAATGCAACCCGCAACAAGACTGTTTAGACGCATATGCACGCCTTCACCATTCACAGCGCACAATGCTACAGACAGCGGTTAAGTGCGCTGTCCTCCAGAATCGACCACAACTGGTTCCTTCATCTCAAAGCCCAAACCTACCGGCATGGGGGCCATCTGATGTCACATTCAAGTTTCACATTTCACTTAACACAAAACTTTGTCACTCATCATTGCGTGCATAGCACGGTCTGTTGAGGCCTCGTGCTCGGCCACTTTAGGGGAATCGCGTGAATAAACACATCTGTGCTCAAGAACTTGCCAGTTGTCCATGCCTGTGGCGAGCTTTACAGCATCCTGGCGCTGATTCCACTGAATATCATTCAAGCGCAACTCCCTATTCCCGCACTGGAACTCTGTTTCACAGCTCCTCCCCTCGCCAGACCCCCCTGTATCTCATAGGCTTCTTTGCCAGGAAAACTAGGGGTGCTTAACACTGTTGCCAAGGGAGTGAGTGGGGGCATATTAACTAAAGAGAAAGGAGGGTGGCGTGGCCTGACGGCTTGAGGAAGAGCATGCGGCAAGAGGTTCCGGAATTGACACAGCGCTACAGCCAACCAGCAAAAGCTTACATGTTCCGCCATGTCAGCTCGAATTCGGTCATCATGTTAAATACGAACACGTGTCTACGGGTGTCTGTATTTCTCACAGGTGGTGTTTGGTGCCATACCCCCATAACTTCAGGACTCTGGGTACTCCACCTAAAAGGGCGAGGTAGTGAAAGACAAAGAGGTCATTATATAATGGTGAAGGGCACAGTTCAACAAGAAGAGATAACAATTTTAAATATATATGCACCCAACTTAGGTGCACCCAGATTCATAAAGCAAACTTTACTGGACCTAAGCAAATGGATTAATAGCAACTCCATAATCACCGGAGATTTCAACACACCACTGAAGACACGAGACAGATCCTCCAACAGAAAATTAATAAAGAAATAATGGAGTTAAACAAAACAGTAGAAGAATTGGGTCTGACTGACATTTACAGAACATTCTACCCAAGATCCACTGACTATACGTTCTTCTCATCAGCTCACGGACATCTCTAAGATTGACCATATCCTAGGACACAAAGTAAATCTCAAGAAATTAAAAAAAATAGAATCATACCATGTATCTTCTCAGATCACAGTGAATAAAGTAAAATCAACCGTAACAGAAACTCACATTTCTACACAAAAACGTGGAAATTAAACAACCTCCTACTAAATGATTACTTCATAAATGAAGAAATCAAGATGGAAATTAAAAAAATCTATACTCCTACACTGCTGGTGGGACTGCAAACTAGTTCAACCTCTGTGGAAAGCAATATGGAGATACCTTAAAGCGATAAAGTGATCTACCATTTGATCAGCAATCCCATTGCTGGGCATCTATCCAAACGATCCAATGACACTCTACAAAAAAAGACACCTGCACTCGAATGTTTATAGCAGCACAATTCATAATTTCAAGGCTGGAAACAGCCCAAGTGCCCATCAATCCAAGAATGGATTAATAGAAATGTGCTATATGTATACCATTGAGTTACTATTCAGCTCTAAGAAACAATGGTGAATATAGCACATCTATTCCGGGTAAGCGGAACCCTATGGTCGCGTGACTATATAAACTCACAGGCTATGTGCGCCAAGGGGATGCTGGTGCATGGAGATAAATATCGGCCTAAAAGGACACTCTGGTAGTGTGCCATCCAATCACCCTCCAATCTGCACCACCCAGAGGATAGCTGCAGCACTGGAT